TGACAACCCTAAAAATAGTCGGACATGACTTTCTTATAGGCCTATTTTATTAAATATTCATGAATGTGGCATAATTAAATAATAAATGTATGAGTTCTTCATTCTTTATATGTCGCATTCGGCATCGGCATCAGCGCCGGCCGATGGACATGAGACTATAATTGGCCATTGGCTCATCGGTCAATGGTGGCCACAGGTACAGCTCTAATTTATTTGAAAATGTAATTTCGCCTAATTGTATACCACTCTTCTTCATATTTAATATAATGTTTTTCTCCTCCTACGATTGCCTCATGGCTTCTTGGAGTCTATTCCGTGCAAAAGTTTATAAACTCTCCCATAGCCTGCAGAGACTTTCGTGGTTTAATGAAAGATCTCGCGCACAAGATCGCGCAGCTCGATATTCCTTTTCTCCGTATTCCGACTCTCCCTCCGGGGCAAAACATTCCATCGCTCTGGCTGCATTTCCTGTTAGAAAGAGCAAATGACGCCAGTACCAATAGATCGGTGGAAGATGATATTAATCCAGAAAATGGCATTTTCGAGTATGAGTACCATCGAGTAGAAGAGCCCCAAGGGAAACTGCTGTTTGAAGTTTTCTTCCAAATTGGAACTTCTTGAGATGCTTTTTAGGTAGTATTAGTCCTTTCTCCTTGCGATTCATCTCATGCATATGGAACACAAAAGTACTAACTGTTTCTCTAGCATGGCTGCCGTCAGCGACTAGAATTGTGTGAATTGAGCACGCAGGCAACTCGTTTTTCTCTAAACGAATAAAATTTGGACTCTGGTCACGACTGGAATCCGCTTGTACCAGATGATTCGCCCTCCTAGTCGTCGCTTGGACGAGTGATCGCCTCGCAGCTGTGGACCGCACTCAAGAGCCTCTCAACAGCGTAGAGGCAGACGTCCGCGGGACGACACAATGGTTTCGCTCCTAAGTTCATTCCATTTTCCTGGATGGCCCTTGTCTGGCGTGTAACTGGTGTCTTATTAACCAATGTGCGAGTCATTTTCGCATTTAATTTTACAAAAGGCGCAATTGAATGCTCATCTGTTCCATACAATTGTTCCATGTAACACCTCTATTTCTTTTTGCATGTTCATGGCTTGATTTTTGAAGCGTGTTTTCAAAAGTTTGAGTTTCTTTTCTCCCTTGGGATTAATGGCCGTATTTGATTTGAGACAAACCTTCTACACACACGAGCTGCTTACTCGTTTAAATTTCCATTTCTTCTTCCCCCCTATTATCGCCCTCGCCTTCTCATTTTTAATCATTATTGCAACTTGGAAAGGCTCGCTTCGCGAACCTTTCCAAGTTGCAATAATGATTATTTCATCAAGTTTCATTAAGCCCATCAAATGTGCTGATTTGTGTTAGAATTTGGCGGTGGAATGCTCAATGGGAAATTACTAAAATCGCATCTGTGGTAGCAGGATTCTCATACGATTGAATACTTTTTAAATTCACTCCTCTCAGCTTGGCCATAATGTGGGTTCTGCTGAAAAAATGGCTAATTGAAGAGAAATTGTCCAGCTCAGGCCCCATGCTTGGTATAAGAACATAGGCGAACTCCGTTTTCAGGCAACTGTGACAAGATACATTTATGCAATATTTTACGAAAATAGCCACAGCTCCGTTCATTTTTGGGAAGAGATTTCGAAAGCCAACTTTTCTTTTGGAGCGAGGAATGCACAATTACATTCAGTGGCTATTTTTCAGTGATATTAAGATGTTCTCATCGATTTTCCAGACATCAGAGTTTTAAAGATACGATGGGGTCCCACACTACTGTGCACTGTCTCATACATGTGCAGACGTCGCCAAGATCCACCAGAGGATTTCAAATTACTCAATTTTAATAATATTTAAGATGGAGAAATGTAATTTAAAAAAGGGGGATACGGGGAGCATAGGGCGGATGGGTGTAAATGAGGCTTGCTAGCACCGGGGGGGGGGGGGGGGGGAGGACTATCCACTCAGCTCTATGCAAGGGGAGTTGTGGTCGTTATAAAAGGAATTTTCGACCAAGAAGTCAAGTTTATCCCATTAATAAGGTTAAATTTGGCGAAGCTTGAAGCTGTAGTATTTCTGCATACGTTGACGAAAGCTTCGCGCTGAAACACGCATACAGACACAGAGGGAGACAGAGAGAGATAGAGAGAGAAAGAGAGGGAGAGAGACGGAGTAAGAGATAGGCAGGAGCCTCACTATGAAAGAGAAGAAAAGAAACCGGAGAGGACGTGAGGCACATTCCCAAACTGCCATGCACATGAAAACCCTAAGACGACAGGCCGTCTTTCCATTCTCTTTTTCCTAGTCTCTCATTGAACCTGGGGGAATTCTAGTCGTGGAACCACACCGAAACGACACAAGGCATGCACTCCCGAGCCAAGTCCACGCTTAAAAATACAATGTCATGGGAGACAGCTGCTGCCTCGTGAAAGAACCCGCCTGAGAAACGGTACGTAATCTGGGAATATATGATTACTATCTTGCGACACAGATATTTCGCTCTTTTCTGAAAGCAGGATGCCAAGTAATTGCGTTTTCCGCAAGAAATTGTATTTCTTATCAGTTGGCGCGAGAGGAAGTCAAGTCTCGCTGCGTTAAGATTCTCCGAGGAGAATTGAGGCAAGAAATTCTCTATTGCAACATTTACGTCTGTGTGTACATATTCCAATAAACTTATTCGGAAAAATAAATCAGAATGCATTTGAGTTGAATATCCCTCTTCGCTGCTGTGCTTCGTTATCAGAGTTACACTCTCCAGCTTCCTTGAAAATTTGTGAAGAAAAATATTTTATGAAGTGCAGTTTTGGCTTTCTCTGATTAGACCTCATTCGGCTTCCTTGCATTCCGCTATGGGGGGTCTCAAATATTAAATGCAATGGAAGTTTCTAGAAGGAAGGAGAATATCTACTAAAAAATAGGCGTTTAGCTTGAAAATTAAATAAGTTGCGGCAAAAAATTATCAAATCTAGAAGCAATACTTACCCAGAAACGTGGGAAACACACGGACACACAACATAACGATGTGGAGTGAGGTGGGGTAAAAGTAACAATGGTGGTATTGCAATATTGTTAACTCACTCAGCGAGTACACGAGACATAGTTTTATAAATAAATATATCACATGCTTGCTTCTCAATGCTTGGCTCAATACACGTTTGGTTGAATTGCAAGTAGACTGGCAAAAAATTATGAGCCTGAATATTATTTCCTTTTTGCATTTTTTTTTAATTCTCAGCTAAGGATGATAAGAACTAGACAAAGTTTAAACTTGATGTTTTACGCTTATATCATTACATTGCTTAGCGAAATGAGACTCAAGCCCCATCGCATCATCTGTTCAATGCAGTGTTTTCTTGTCAAGTGGAAAGATGGGTCATGGAATTATTGCAACTTCTTATCGTGAGATAAATGTAACCCTACACAAAGAGAATTTCCAAGCCTGCTAAACATGACAAAATATGTAAATCTTGTCTGGGTCTTATTGAAGAAACATGTATGCAAAAGCAAATAATGTGCGCAGGAGGGAAGTCCGCCTAGGAAGGCCTGATGGAGAAAAAGGCGGCTGTGGAATTCCAAGAAGGACCGAAGGTGTCACGAGGGAGTCCGTTCGTTTCAATATACGGCGCAGTTGTATCGGTCCAGAGACTATCATGAAATCAAGCTTTTTGGCTCTGTTTACAGATTAACTATTAATAGAAGTTAGAATTATTATTATTGGAATTTCATCGAAGTCAAGGCAAGAGCTTTTTCTGTAAGTCATGGTCTTGGATAAGCCGTAATCAATATCTGAAGTTATCTTGGCTTCTGCGGAATTAATGGAAGTCAAAATCTTAAGTCAAATCAAGGTAACTAAGTTGCCAGTCAAAGTCACCGTTTTGTTGATTGCTCTGGAAGGCTTTAATTGCATAAGTCTCTTAGGCAAACGGGATTTCCGAGTCCTGATATTATTTTTTTTTTCAGTTCTCCCATTTCAATCATCCCAAGATTTCTGAGTTCCAAGAGGATTTAAAAAAAAAATAATTTCAGGGGAATGAAGGGAAAGAGAATATGGAGAAGATGAAGTCAATTGGGGCGGACAAAGGAGAACTTCATCTCCATTTTATTCCTCCATGTCTCCAAACCATTTCCAAAGGCTCGAAAATCAGAGAACGGTTCTGCATGCTTTGGTATAATAACGTCCTACGGTTCCATTTTTAGTCCATCTTTTCTCAAATTTTCCATGATTCATCCAGCAAATGTAGGTCGTAAACGAAGTTGCCCCATTCGTTCCTCAGTGCAGTTGGAAGGTATTTACTCAGCAAAATAACAATTGTTCTATGGTGTTTTACAATTGTCCCATTGGGCAGGATAAAAGCGACATGAAACAAGGCTTTTAAAACGGGGTGTTCCCCCAGAGCCTGCTTGGGAATCATTGGAATCTATTGTTCGTTGTTTGGAGGGAATAGGACTCAACTTTTGCTGCATTATTCTCGCCGGTGTGATTGGTGCTGTACTGTACTGAGACGTGCAATTAGAAACTTTTCAGGTAACCATTACCCCACTTTACCTTACCTCATTCCTTTTTCGAAGAATTCAAGCTGAATTGCTTCGGGGAACAGTCTTACCTGTCTGCGAAACAATGTCAGACCGAACGGATTTACTTGCGTCAACTCAAGGGAAAAGTTTCCAGATTTGTCGAACGACTTCAGTGCGAAGGGAATGAATCAAAATATTTATTTTTGCTCTTCAAAGCTAGGAATCGATGTCTTACATCACTTAGAAAAGGAAAGAGCCTGGAAAGAAGAGCATATCTGGCTTCTACATCGTTTCTATGATCTTCGTAATTTCATCTCAACACCTTGTGGGCTTCCTTTGTCGATTCATTCTTATATTGAAAATTTCCTCCATTGTGGGGAAAAAAAATCCCACGCGATTTGGAATTTCATTACGTGGATCCAAGTACGCACAAACGCATGCAAATATAAGGATAAAATGAGACGAGTACCTGATCGTTCCATGCTCATGAGCAGGACTCCGTCTTGGGCAAGGCCCTCCTCTTGGACCTTGTCCACCAGCCGGCTGGCTCCTTGCATCAAGAGCGATATGGAGTTCGGATTGGAATTTGACGCCTCGGAATGTCCCGAAGAGACGGAGGAATTCTCGGGGATCACACTCCCTGGCAAGGCATTCACGACCAGGGAGATCCCCGGATCTTCCATCTTCATCATGTTAAAACTTCCTCCTCCGTGCATCGATCCCGAACCACCTTCCCTCGGCACCTATATATATCCCAGTACACGGACTGTAGGTGTTATTTACACTCATGCACACTGCATGGGCTGGTGCTTTATTTATACAGTACGCCTGCTTCCTTATATGTCCATACTTAACGTAGCCTGAGCTTCTTGACCATATCGCCTGTTGGCAAGATCAGAACAAATAACTACGACTTGATTACATCATACGTTGCACAATTTCCGTGTTGCGACGTAGGACGTTTCATTTACACGCATGGGGGTTGGCGCCCTCTTCTTACGTATGATTCGTTGCGTACTCGTTAAGTACAAAGATAATACGTATAAGCGGGGCCTGAGAAGCCCGGGGTAACAGTCCCGGCATCGATCGCCCACTCGGCTGGCATTCGTCGAGATCCCCGTTTCCAAGGAGATTCGCGATCCTAAAACCTTTCTGAAAAATATTTTAATTTTAATGGATGTTTCTTTTAATTTTAATGGATGATTCGAGCTTGGAGATATAATTTATTGATTACATTCCGGAACCTTCATTAATGGATCAGATATCGACGTGCATTAGGGTTCAAGCCGACACGTGCTTCGTTCAAGCCATACGTGATGCATGAAAGGGCGTGAAATAATAATACGACGGCGTCTCGAATCACTAATAGGATGAAAATACTCGGCTTGAAGAGCCCCTCAGAAATTAAGCATTATCGTGAGCATATTTCAGACTGTCAAAATCCGAAAGTCCTGATTCGCTTCATTAGCGATAAGAGATTCTGGCTCATTTGAAGTGGTCTGCGAAGTTCGATGCCCTCCCGCTTGGTAATGTATGGAATGACGTGATGGTTCGCTAGATTCATTATCAACAGAGCACCTAGAATAGTCGAACATGATCCGGAACGGGGAAATAAGGTCTGCTTTTCCGCCTCCATTCATCCACCCGCGTGCATTTAGGGCTGCCAAGAGGTAATGAGCGCTGGGAGACAAATTGACCCCGGGGTATTACAGCACTTCCTTTCCCATCTGATTCGTCCTTCTTTCCTCACGTCTTCCACTCTTTCCGGAACGGCAGATGAGAACGAGGCGGCATGCACGCGAGAGCGACGTCCTATAATGAAAGTGCAATGCGGGGCTAAAAAAAACACGAGGCTCTACCTTTCACATGTACACTTGGTAATTTCGGAGGAACAACGAGGCTATGCAAACACATTCCACATATCAGACTCCGGCAGAAAGGAGATCTGAAGAGCGAGCAAACAGGAGACAGCTCGAAATGAAAGAATGAAGGAAAAAGTGAACCCTAGCAAGAAGGGATAGAATCGCTTTCCTCATGCTGCAGTCGAGCATGAAAAAGGAAAAGAGCGGATGGTATTAGAATGTCTGAGTTCCATAATTTCTGTCTGCAAAGTCATTTAAGGAAAGAAGCACAATGGACCGATGGGAAAGTTATGCAGCAAGCTCAGTGGATGTTTAATCCCCCGCCGCATCGAAGACCCACCTCGAGTGTAGAACCCTGGAATGAAATGGCTAGCCCCTTTCCCACTCGCCCACGACAGAAAGATGGATCGAAATCATCAAGTGCGAGAGCTAATACAGCTCGCCGTCCACACTTCTCCGAGGGTTTTCAGCTCTCTTGCACGTTGTGGAGGACCGTCGGTGCTAATGCTTGTCATTAATTTATTTGTATCGATCTGAGCCTGTCCAACTTTCCTTCCAACTATAGCCACGGCCTGCATGATTCACACTTACGGGACAATGGATGGTCATTGGTCAACTGGGCTTGAATCCGCGACGTGACGATGCAAGTGCGTGGGCAGTCCCCCTTCCCCCTCCCCCCCCCCCCCCATCATCAATCGTATCAATTGTATGGTGTGAAAGGGACCATCGAGCTGTGCGGCGTCGGTGCAGACCGCATTGAACATTACCGTTGGAGCATATTGACGTCATAAAGCTCCGCATTGGATCTGGATGAAAGGAACGATATATCCCATTTATTAGCGTCAGAATTTGTCATGAAATGATAAAAATCCACTAAGAGCAATGAGAGTTCAAAAAGAACTCAGAAAGAAATCTGCGACGATCTGATAGCCGCCTACTTGATTGCACCTTCAACTAAAGACGAAACTTTAGGGCTTGTAATATTTTCGGGACTTCTTACTTTGGCGACGATCAATGAATTAGGACCTCCTCAAATTTAGTTGAAAAGAGAGGTAAGGGCATTCCCCACCGATTTCGAGACTGCATCGTGCAACTCGAGTATGACTCGATGAGGGAAATATGACGTACATGTCATCCCAAGTGATGCTTTTCTCTGAAGAGGCAGGCCGATTCCTCGTGGAATCACGTTGAAATGGCAATTCTTTCCTTATGCCCAAAAATAAGACAGATGTGCTAGCTTTGGAAGCAGATGAATTACGCAATTGGCCCGTCGGTCTCTGTGCTGCGCAGTAGCTGGGAGGAGGAACATATGGCCCATTGTGCCTTAATGCGGTGGTGAAAGAGTTCCAGTGGGCCCATCATGCATGCTGGTCTTGAATAATACGGAAAGGGAAGAAAGACTAGATGGAACTCGTCTACGATGATGATGATGATGGGGCCTCCATCCCACGAGCTTAACTCTCATCTGCATCTCTTTCCCATCTCAATCGTCTTCTCTCCTCTCCTTCCCCCCTTTTCCCCTTCGGGCCATGGGGCCAAATGCAACTGCTCCCAGACGTCATTACTAGGAGAGAAGGATTTCTTCCCGTCGAGGAAGGCTCGGCTACCGGAGGGATTCAGGCCCAGAGGTTTAAATCATATTGCTGTCTATCGTGTGGGAAGGAAGGAGAGAATTTCTGCAGGGGCTTCAGTGCCCTTCATTTGACGTCATCATCGATCCCCCCCACCCCCCTTCTTTGCCTCGATTCCCTTCCCTTGTTTCTATGCCTATAATGGATCCGGAGAAAGTTTTGTACTTACTCCTGTTTGCACGAGATGACGAAACCGAATCGGCATCAACCCCACGATTAAAAAGACAGGCCTTTTCCTGACAGACCTTAATCAAGACGGATTCTTCTGCTCCGTCCGGGGATAAAAACGAACGCTCCGGCGTTTCTCTGGCTACAATTAATTCCCTGTCACGGACTCCCTCCTTGTGCTTCCTATAATTGCCATACAGGGTGATCGATAGCTGGATATATTATGTGCGTCAGGGGTGATGGAAAGGAGTCCCCGAATTAGAAGGCACGATGAGGACTCCGGGAAAGTAATGAGCCGAACGAGGAGGAACCCGGAAAGGAAATGGCGACATGGATCATGACTCTACAAAAGCCTGATGAGATATGCGGCGTCATTTTCCCTCCTATTTCCTCCGATGACCCTCTCATGCGCGTCATGAGTCGGTATTTAGATGCGGAAAACACTAAGGACGGTTCATATAGGGCTTCCCGCAAAAGTAATCCAAAAGGATTGGGAAATCCCATGGATTCTTTCGCCGAATGTCTTACCAGAGGTAGGAAAAATCGTATTAGGATTTGAGTTGCTTACAATTTCATTCGCATCCTGAGATTTGATTTGTGTCATGTGATCTCCAACTTCACCAACCTATATGATTTAAAATATAAAGGATTTGATTTCTGATTTAACATCCTTATTTGAATCAGAAATCACAGGAAATACGCACAGGAAGGTGAAGATCCATACGAAAGGCGATATAATGTTACCTGTTCGGTGTTCTGTCATGGTTCCTCCCAGTGCCTGCCGATGTCATTTCATTATCCAATCGATTCATCGGTTAATTATTTATTTTCAATAAAAAGTTATCATGTTAAATCAAATATTGACAGCTACCAAAACTCTCTCCTAGCAGATACTACTCGGATGGAAGAAGCAATCGTCTCTGTCGGAACCCGCGAAGTTCCCAGAGACAGGGGAAGCGAAGGCCGATGGGAGATAGGGACGGATCGACGAGCGATTTTATCATGCGAGACCATTAAGGATCGAGTGCGTCGTCATTTCTCGCAGAGGATCGTGTGACGTTTCCTCACTTTCCTTCAGAATTTTGTGCTGCCTTATCCGTTACCGCTGCTTCCGATCGCGAGATGTCATCGATCTGAACCGCATCCACGAGTTTATGATTTAAATTAAGTAATCGCATTCGGATTTTATAAGTTACTTCTAACGAGTTCTAAATTCCAGCCGGATGGAGTCGAGTCGGCTCTAATTCTGAAATATTAGTCTGGCTGCAAGAAACTGTTTTCCTCTTTTCTTTCTGAGCCTATGAGTTACGTCTCTCGCGGATAATCCCGACGATTATTTCCCGTTCCCTCGTTGGCAGGGCCCACCCCATTTGTTGGCGTTTCTCCGGACATGAAGAATGACTGGATGAATGAACCCGGTTATGGATGCAGGGGAGGCCGCGCCCAGAATGTCGATATGTGATTACGACGGCCGTGGCTCATTAAGCTGCGGAAACGGATTCCGGGATTCCACAAAATGGGTTTTTCCTCTGTATTCGTTGGGCGTTCGCGTAAAATAAAGGGTTTGTCTTGGGTTTGTATGGTTGATTCTAAAACCACCCTGGAAGGATGGCCATCGAGAGAGCCTTTTTTTGCATGCGATTCTGCAAAAAAGGAAAAAAAAAAGGATTGGATGACAGACGAAAAAAATCTCATTAGTTGCTGGAGATTTATGCGCCAGAAAGGATGAAAGCTGGAGACAGTCCGCAAACCCATCTCGTGATGGATGGGAGGGAGCCATGAAGGTCAAAAGGATTCACAAAAGTGAAGAGGGGGGAAAAAGGCATAAAATCGGCAAGGACGTACCGGAACGCCGAAAGGAAGGAACCGGGCCAACTGGTTGATGGGGAATATGAAACAGTCTTTGTCGTGGAGGCTGGACGGTTCTTCCTCGTCTTCGTCACCCCTCTCGCCGTTGCTGTTGTTGTTGTTGGTGCTGTTGCTGTTGAGGGTCTTCACCCACCTGATGCCATCTGGGGATTTCCATCCTTCGTCGTCCTCTTCCACGTCGGATTCGGGGTAACCACACCTCAACGTCCGGTATTTCAGCTGACGGGAATTGCGAAAACTCACACTTTTGCTGCCCTTGAAGCACTCCTTTCGATTCGAGGCACTCGGGGAGTTGTCGATCAAGTACTCGTGGCACTCTGAAGTACTTCGATTCAATTTGAGGACCCCTGCAGTCCTCCTGGTCTTGTGCTTCCGATTCGCGTCGGCCGATGGTGTCGGCTGATGATCCGCATGATGCGACGTCATGGGAAAGAAGAGATGAGTCCGGATGTTTCGATTCACGTTGTGATGGGGACAATCCTCGTCGAGGAAGCCCGGCGGAGAATCACAGCGTGTGAACTGATGCGGAAACCGCGACGGTCCGTGCGACGACGACGACGACGACGACGCTATCGCCGAGAAGAAGCCCGACGACGCATTCTTCTTGTGCGACGAAGTGCCCATGATCCCGCCGGATCTCTTCTTCGCGCCTTCCTCGCGGAAGCTCTTCATGTAAAGAAGGCTCATGTTGCCTGCACTTTCACTGCTGTTTCACTTTCTTTGGGGAAAGGTGTTCACTGAGTTCGGAGAGGCTCTCGTTTCATCAGTCGAGACAGCATTCTCGCTGGATTCGAAGAGAGACGTTCACATTCGGAGTGATCATATTCTTGCTGGCTCTGGATGGAGACGTCACGGAGGGAATATCACTTCATTTCGTCAGCGGAAGATGTTCCCCGGACTTCGAGAAAGATTTCCAGCCGAATCGAAGACAGGAGCAGTGGCTGACGGAAGTCCGCATGACGAGCCTCAAGTCAGACTGATTCCTCTCTCCTCCGTCTGTCGTTGTGGGAAGCGTGAAGAGGGAAGAAGGAGGCTGCTGGGCGCAGGCGCGAGCAACAAGTCCCCATGGTGACCTGGTTAAGCCTAGGCGAGGCCGGACGAGGCCAGCCCGGCTGCGCCGTCTCTTAGTCGATATCTCAGACTCCTCATACCATTTTTCTCTACGAAGTCTCATTCTCGTTCCGCTCCTTGGAGGACTGCATTGCCTCGACAGTTTCTCGATTGAATGACGTGGCATTAGGAAACGAACGACTTGGGGAAGCGCAGCTCTCTCTCTGAGATATTTTTTTTTTTGCTTTAAATAGACCCTGTGCAAGATCAAGCATGGAAGTTAGGAGTCATGTCACGGTTGTAACATCTTGAAGAGGGCTCACGCATGTGACTTCTTATGAGTCGAGAAATAATGCCTATTTAAGCTGGGATTAATTGAGAAGGGAATAAGCAGCTTCCAGCCCTGTGACTCTTCCTGTCGGGCACGACTCTCTTCCATGAACAACAGAGAAACCTATCTTTGTACATTGATTTGGCTTATAAACGCATTCAGATCGTTTCAGTACTTTGCTTCATTTAGAATAACTATCATTATTGCTAATGAGTTCCTTCTTAAAGAGTCCTGCTTTGGTGCACCCTTAGTACGGGTCCATCGTGGACCACCTTTCACCAGGATCGATTCTGCAGTTTTATTAAATGCAAAATTGCCTTTTAACTTTTCGACCATTTGAATGGGTGAACGGATGGGTGTATGCTTCTTATACCATGCATTGATGCGCAGCTGAATATGGCGGCTGGGGTGTAAAAATGGAGCTGAAGTTTCCCCGTTTGTGGTCGATGCACACCTGAGGGCATGGTTCGTGACGTCATTCATTTTCCCCTCTCAGCGGGACTGGTATACAATACGAAGGCCCAGGCCGAGGCATGCATCCTCTCGTTTCCCGATATCTTTCCTTCGAACGGTAGGCCTATCGGAGGCTAATTTTCGCTTCCTTCATCTCCTTCCATTCCTCATTCTCTTTCATTTTTCCGGCTCTCTTGTGTTTCCCATTTCTGACCCTTTCCCATAGAGGCGGATTTATTCCTCTGATGGACGCGGCCAGACTTGTACAATGCGTCTCGATCGAGAGGTCCGGCTGATAAATCAAAGGTCAAATCTTTAAACACGACTATCGGCTTACGCTTAGAACATACTAGGACGAGACCAAATGAAAAGGTCTTACAGGATTCATATAGAATCTAATACTTGAACAAATAATATCTGATAAATGGGAGTAGGCATGGTCTGAAGACAGCATAAGGGCGCGGATGTGAATGCCATGGCTTCTTTTTTCATTTGTGCGGCGGACACCCGAGAAAACGAACTCTATTCAATTACATTCCACGGAAGGGAAGGGTGAGTCGGATTGTCATGCCTTCTTGCGTCTTATCACAATCTTTCAGTGAGGGGCGCTCTCCCTCTCTCCCCCCCCCCACCCCCCGCGGCCCCGTAGGAGGCCCTAGGAGCAGTTCACAGGTTTCCTAAGCCTGCAATTGGATAGATTGATTCTTACGTTGTAATGCTTCCGTATCTCTTAAACGCGAGTAGCGAGCGCGTTACTCCTACGTTTAACAGGTACTACCCAGAATGCAGATGGGTTGCCTGTCGGCGAAGAAGAGCCGGTCTACCGCCTGGACTCAATCTCCTACCTCATTGGTTCGAATGGGAAGCCCGAACCACTGAGTCATTGCTAAGAGGGTAAATCCTCTGATCTTCCTTGCAGTCGACTTCAATGCCCTGATCTCCTTAACATGCCGGCGTGCATCTCCATTGTTACTTGACCATGCTCTGAGAGGATTGATGGCCATTCAGGACGGTCAAGTGGTGAGGTTCTCGTGCTGTCTGTGCATATCTAAATAGTAGGACAGGAAGCAATTTGAGACTCCTTCATTTCGGTGTTGGCTGTTTGCTGTTTAGCTGTAGTCTCGGTCTGTGTCAGGTACATCGAAGCGGGAAACTAAGAAAAACTCCTCTTATATCTCCTGATTCTCTCCCGGCAAATGACTTCGGGGATCCCGACTTTTGCATTGCCCACAACTTCAAGGCTTTGGGGCCCCTGGGGCCAAAGTCTTCAGGTTCCTTATGCCCCTATTGCGATCCTCTCTGCTTTCATTTATGGGGTGGCCTCGGGACAATTTGCATCTTCTCATCTTATGTCCTAACATTTCCTCATCCCCATTTAACACCAAAAGTGCCCATACATCACGGTGCTCAAGGTCGTAGATAAGCAGACTATTGGTGATGAAGGGCCAGAGGGCCCCCTGCAGGCACGATTGAGGATGACTCCCTTCACTGGATTCTCGGCCTTCCATTATCTTTGCTCTCGTGTCTTAGGATGGATGAGTTACGTTTCAAAAGGAATTCATTATAACTTACATTCATACTTAAATATACAACTTAATGATAAAAGTTACATATCACGGCAAGTAAACAACAGCCACAACTTATGCTTTGATTTCTTAGTTTCTGCTAGATGAAGTAATCCAATGTGTCAAGAAAAGAGAAAAAGATGAACTCTAGTGAGCTGCCTCTGATTCTTTCCCCTCCCTCGGCATAGGCGAAAGCTGGAACGGAAAGGAGGATTAATTCATGCTAACTATTTTGTCCCTTTAAGAAGGAAACTCACAGAGTAATTGATTGGATGCGCACAAACTTGACGAAAATTTGGACCATAATTGTTTATTATTTGAGAACTGTAACTCATTACCTGTTTTGCTGTCGGAAAAGATAGCTAATGCGTTGATTCTACTTAGCCCCTTCCCATCCTTGTCCCTCATGTAAATGCCATAACCGTCGGGTGGCATTGTCACATGAGAGATTCGCTTCAAGTGTTGATGCCATACATGTGCTGATGGTGTGAAATGCAAGCCTTAGAAGCAGGAAAAAGACTGATACATTCCTAACAGAAACAAGGCAGATGCTACGAGCAAAACTTTGAAGAAAAAAAGACTCTTCGAAAGGAGGTTTCCTCGAAAACTAGTCATCAAGAGGACATTAGTACGTACCTGGAGGAATGCAAGAATCATCCCCCTCAGCTCCAGGGTGGTCCACAATTATCTCCCCAAAAGTAAAAGCTCAGGTAAGCTTATTAACCTTTATCGTACGAATGTCAGATACATCTGACGTTACAATTACCCTCCAATGGACGAATGCTAGGTATATCAAACGCTATTCATGAGTCACACCAACAAGTTCTTCTGGTTCTTGGGTAGGCTTCTAACCCAGAAATATGATATAACTGTCAAACCCTTGGGGTTTAAAAGGGCGGAATTAATTTCCGGCCGTGAGGGGAACTAAGTATGTTGAACTTCGTACGATAAAAGTTAAAGAAAATACCCTATAATTATTTATTATATAGTTTTAAATAATTAATGAAAGTAATAATTTGAGTCCTATATTTTACATTGGATGCATAATTTGTAAATAATAAGCTTTTATTTTTGGGGAGACAATTGTGGACTCCTCTGTAATTTGCCCTCTCGAGAAAGTCGCGATGAGTCAGAGTGATTTGAGGAAGGTCTATTTCACAATGAATGCTTTAGTCCCGATGACTACGGGCATATTGTCCACTTGATTATTGTGATTCTTCCATTCGAGAACCCCTCCGAAGTGCTGCTTCGTCGCTGTCTCGCATCCACGTTCAAAGCAAGTGAGTGACGAAATGAGTTTTTCTTTTCTGCTTCCGCGAGTCGTGAGGAATAATACCACAGGAAGTTCGAATAAATAAATCGCAGAGAAGCGTTACTTGGGGCATTTTGCTGGAAAATAACGGTTACAACTTTAGCAGTATAAGTTATTTATGGTTGCTATTAGCTAGGCTTGAAAAGATGGTCAAATGTAATTTTGGAGGAGAATCATTGGAAGCTGGTCGTGACTGAATTGAAACAACTCTTGGGTTGTTTAACGTCCACTTCAAACAGCGAATACGCTAAAATACCGGGAATGGAGAACAAAAAAAAATACGTTGCTGTCTAGAATTTTTATATCAGGACATCGGTCATTCATACATTTATGAAGTTAATGTGAAAACCAATTTTCAATGGCTTTCCCTTTCTTCAACCCTCCCACCCTTCCATACGGGACTCAGTAACGTTAGGCCTAGACCTAACCAAAAGACTTCCTTCAGATTGCGCCAAGGTCTACCTTTTTTCTTTCAAAAGAAACTACTCAATTAATTCTCGACCTTCGGGGCCAATTAGCTCTATATGGGTGAATCCGTGCTCTTCGAGACATCTCGTTGAGAACGTGTAACGTTAGGCCAATCGCAGGCCTATTCATACGTTCACGAACCATTTCAGAGAGGACATGTAACGTTGGACCGATTTTAGGCTTGTTTCGCATTTCATAAACCATTTCAGTGGGACGTGGAACGCTAGGCCTATCTGGAGTTCCTCGAACCATCTCGAATAGGTGTGAGGAGGGGGTGCCTCCAGGAAGCATGCAATCCATGGTGCAAGCAATCCTGTTAATTCAGAGTTGTCCTTATAAGATATCTTCATATCCCACAACATCGATCAATCACTGCTAATCACCGCTCATTCTCAACTCAACTCATGAACTCAGCACAAAAATGTCTCATACCTAAAAAACAGAGGATCCAGACGCCGATACGAAGATTGAAGTAGTCTTGAATTTGGTGTAATTTTGGAAGACGTGGCAAATGTTTCGTCAAATTCGCCCTCGCCTCTAATAAACTGAGATTTTTTTCTCGTCTGAAAGCAGCTCTTAGATATCTTCATCCATCAGCAACTGCAAGACAGTTCTTCGAACTGCAAGAAAAGTAATGAATAGTTTCTCGAGTCACACCCTTTCCAGCCACTTTCCACTTGTGACATGTTCTATAATACAATTTTCCTCCAAGTTTGCCTGTCTCTATGCTCGTATTTCATCCTTTACACATTGGAATGACCGTGTAGATGACACCAAAGTCTGGAATCAGAGCTTTTATTGCATACACA